GCACCTGTGTGTCTCCACAGGACAAAGGGAAGGGAAAGCACAAGAGGCATGTCTGAGCACCTTGGCTAGCAGCAGTGTCACATAAGAGGGAGACCAGGAAGGGTCTCCTCGGTGTCCCTACACTTGCCTCCTCCTGCCTCTGGTCACCCAGTGGCTCGCTTTGTGCTGATCAGCGCAAGGCACTACTGTCCTTTGAGAACATAAGGAGGCTGACAGAACAGGGCAGAGTCCTTGTTTGTCTCCTGGAGTATTAGGACGGTCTAGTTACCCGGTCCCAGTGCACCACCTCAGGTGAATCACTGGACCCTTTCTCCTAATAGAGAGATGGCCATCCATCATGCCAACACCAGGGACACAGTCGGCGGCGGCGACTCGTGTCTTGGACTGCACGGACACAAGCAAGGCCCAGGGCTTGCCAGAGGGCCATGCTGGCAGCATTCATCCAGGGGCTTTGCAATCCCTCTCTCTACGGCCCTTTCAGTGAGCAAAGAAGAGGCAGCCTTCTGCCTCCAGACTCCAGACTCTTGAGTTCCTAGCTAACAGAAGGAAGGCAGGACCCGCTGAGCTTCAGTCTATGCTGACACAGGAAAAATCTTTCCCACCCGTGGCTGGTGCCCGACCCCAACCAGGAATGGAAACCGATCGAGAAGATTTGGAATCATGGCTTTATTAGGAAACAGATGTGATATGACACACCCGGCCCTTCAAGTCTCCCATTGGTAGAGCGCGATGTACGATGGCATGCTTCAAAGAAATGGATGCTCTTGCCCTCGTTTTCCATTCGGACGCCTTTCATGAGGTCCCGGAGGTGACTCTCTCTGTGTGTGTTGGGTGTGGGTGTGTGTTCCGACTTGCGGCCCTGAGCATGCTGTCACCTGAGCGGCGGGGATTCCTCCATGGACCTTCTTCTCTTCTTGGGGTTTCTCTCTGCAGGCACTGGGAATGTCCTAAGGGCCACTTGCATTTCTGCTCTGATGATCTCCCACGAGCAAGGGCTGTATCCCTTTGCCTGGAGATAGCGGGAGATCCCCCAAAAGTAGGTGCGGATGGCCATGGCCAAAGGAGATGCACAGGCTGGGCTTGGCTCCGCTGCTCTCCCCTCCAGCGCTTCCAGGCCACTCAACAGACTAGTGACAAGTTGCCCAAGCGGCCTCTCTGCCCAGGCATCTCTGCTGGCCTCTGTCGCGAAGAGCTGGAGGAGCTGCCTGAGCATCTCGGAGTGGCAACAGGTGGCATCTTCTTCTTTCTGCTCCCCTTGGCTGATGCGCCCTTTCTTCCAGGGGCATCTGAAATCCATTCTGTCCCGCAGGCACTGGTGGCCCGGCAGGCTTTTCAGCTGCCCTAACAACCTGGCGGTTTCCCCGCGCTGCAGGCGCAGGCTCCAAGATGCACCCCTGTCCAGTGAGCAGGCTGTGCTGCAGCCCAGCATCACTCCCAGGACGAGGGGGAGCACAGGCACCATGCCAGAGCGTAAGGATTCCGGAGCTGGCCGACAGGGGGCGCGCTTGTAATGCAACACTGCAGACCCATTGAGCATGGAGTATTGGTTTCTGCTTTAATAGTGCACACTGAAGGCTCCAGCATTGGTTGGCCTTGGCTGACCGGGCTCCTGGCTTAGCCGGAAATGGAGTGCCTCACAGGAGCCCGATTGATGGCCACCCTCGTCCTGCCTGCGTTCTGCGGGTATGGCCCCACCGGGGCCTGGAACCGAAGTGCACATGGACTCGCTTGGACAGAGGACACATTGCGGGCAAAATGTGGAGGCTCCAATCCCACGGAGCCCCACTTTGTTTGTTTTTGTTTTCCTCTGGGCTCCACCTTCCAGCGATTGGTGTGTTTTATAGGCAGGAGCCTTGCTCCTCTCCCTCAGGAGATGGGAACCAGGGGGACCGGGAAGAGGAGGTGTGAAAGAGGAGAGCTTGGCCAGGAAAGGAAAGTGTCTCAAATAGGGCACGGGTCTTGGCTTGCCCCATGACTGTGAACCAGCCAGTGCTGACTTCAGCCCAGAGGGACTTGAAGCAGGAGGATCGCGCTCCTCCTGGGCAGCTCTCTGCTTTCTTTTGCTTGAACCACACACTCAGCCCAATGGCCTTTCCTGTGGTTGGATAGATAGCTCCTTGCTCTGCCTCAGTGTGCTTTCTTGAAGTGACCCAGTCTCTTGTATTTCTCAGATCCACTGTCTATCTGAAACAGAAACAGACCTTTTAACTTCCTCCCCAATACCCTCTCTGCACCCTCCTCCACTTCTGTATTGTTATGATGTCCTCTCCTAATATATTTTGAGAATTCTTTGTATATCTTTGGAATTCTCTGATATGTTGGCATCTCTTTTTAGTTATTTATTTGTTTTTGTTTCTTTCTTCCCTGGCTACATATATTTCTCCCTCCCTCTCTCCTTAAATGTTTAGTCTGATCTCTACTCTGTTTAGGTGAATGGTCTTAATACTTGGGTGTTTTGCTCCTCCTGGAGGCCTTAAGCTCCATGTGCCCGTGCCCTGTCAGTTACTGGAGTCTGGTGATAACTCTGAAATATTTGCTGTGAAGCAGTCCATAAACATTTTATTCTGTCGGTCTTCTGATTATGTGTTTCTCTTTTTTTTTCAAGTTTATCATTTCTTCCCTTGTTACATCTCTGTGGATATATTTTTTTCATTTTTTGTCAATCGAATTTTTGCATCCACATTTTACTCATGACTTACATTTGCATATAATGTTTCCCAAATCTACATATACTTAAAAGTATGTTCTTCTTGGTTCTCTCTCTTTTATATCTCATATTTTCACTTAAGGAATGCTCTGTCTTTCTTTTCTGAATGCTAAACTCCTTTGATTATTGTGCACAATGTTAATCGAATTTGCCTTTCTGTGCAGTTTTCTTACTGGTTTCCATTTTTGTGTTTTCTACTTATTGTCATTAGATTGTAGTCTATCTTAGTTTATAGATGGGCAGTAGATAGTTTTTCCTATTTATTAAGTTTATTTTCATTCTATTCATGTTCTTAATGTACAATTAATTCTGACACCACCTTTTCTTGCTTGTTTTCTCAAGTTACATGGGTTGACTTAGTCAATGTGCAAACAGCCACAAGTTCCATCCCCATGTGGTCTTTCTTTGTAGGCTAGGGTATGCGTTGCTTTTGTGTTTATGCCTTATCTTCTTTGAGTGGTTGCAAAGATTCTTCAAATTATCTTTGAGCTTTGTCTCTATTGTCTGAGCTCTTTCCAAAGTTGTTGTGTGTAAATGTTACTGATAAAGCAGGGAGACTTATACCTGTATTCTCTCTACTCAGGCACAAAATGGATTGTCAGCCTATACATAATAGCAGCAAATAAAAATCCATTTACTGTCCTCATTACCTTGTGTGGAATCCTAATTTGGATTTATATCTCTACCCATGTCATTAATTATAGAACTATACATCCTATTGCCAATTATACTTCTGTAATTTCACGATTCAGTAGGCACCTAATGATATTCAATAATTTTTTCTCTGTATATTTTATGACAAGCTTTATTTTTTGGTTTTGAATCTTTAATAACAATTTGAAGAAAGGAAAAAGAGCACGATGCTGCAAACAGTATAAATGTGAATGTCAATGAGTGTTTCTATCTGGGACAGTGAATGTGGTTGGTTCTAATTACCAATTTTACAAATTCAATCCCTTTGGTTCAGTGTACCTATAGTAAACTATTGGTAAGTACATCCTTTGACTCAGTGTTTGGCTACATTATTTCTAACAGATTTATTTCCAGTTTAAGAGGAAACACCTCACTGGATACAATCAAGTACATCACCAGGTTCACTTGCTTTTCTTCTAGTCACTTGTGGTTTTCATAAGACACTTAAATCTTAGCTGAAGAATACCTTCAAAGAACCAATCATTTGTTTTCATTTTCAGGAAATTTCAAGGATTGTTCCAAAGTTCAGAACAACCCATTTTCTCTCAACCAAAGTAGTTTTGAAAACCAATTTATTCCAGACATTTACTTCAAAACAAGATAAGCAAAACCCCAATGAGCATCACCATGTGAGTGAACCCAAAGCCAGATGTCCACACAGGCGCCAACCTCCTGTCCTGCCTGGGGATCAAATTCTGCTTCATCAAGTCAGTGCCACAGAATTAAAGCAAAACAAACCCACTTGCATTGCAGAATACAAAAAAGGGTACATTTGTAAGTAAAAATTACTAAACTCATAGAACTGGAGTATGTCAGAGGACTAGGGTGTAGTGGAGGGTGTGACCCAGGGAGCGTCACATTTGACACTAGTATTTTGAGCTTGCTTCCACACAGCTCTGAAATGACCCGAGAACCCTTCTCTGGAAGAGCCCATGTGGTAAAAGTGGTAAAATAAATAAATAAATAAATAAACAAACAAACAAGCAAACATGAAACAAATAAAAAATTTTTAAAAACTCAGATTGGTTTTCATACACATTGCACTTGAAGCCGAAGACCCAGTACTTGCAAATTAGGTCCCTTGTGGTCTATGCCATTGACATATACAGGGCACTGCGTGTTTAATGCAGTGACATGACGTGTGAACTCAACCTTTTACAAGGTGATCACAGATTACAAGCTCCATTTGGCTGTGGGAAAGTCCTCTCCACTCTGGAATGACAGAAACAATTTTGGCTCATTAACACTGAAAACAGCAGAGACACTCTTAGTCCAGATCTTGGACAAAAACTTCATGTAAATGGGGGTGAAAAGTCCAGCATCACAGTGCAGAGTCATGACATTGCGCTGTCCTTGGCTCTCAGTAGGATTGTCTACAAACCTCTGGCCATGAAATGCATAGTTCCCACACTGATGAGACCCACATGTGAGAGTCTACCTGAGAGCGACCTGGAGATGCGGCTGCACTGGGAATGGGAATGTGACCTGGAGATGGTTTGCACTGGGAATGGGAATGTGATCATCCTTCTACTCACTGCTGCCCCCCCTTACACAACACTCTATTTTAATTCTGAATAAATATTCTTACTACACATTCTTTATGTCTGTTAAGCACTATCAACTTCTCTCCTTTAGGCGCTGACACAAAACTGCAGGTTGATAATTCATTTTGATCCAAGGCTTTGAAATGCAGCCACTTGCTCTGATTGATGAAGAAAATATAATGCTTGGGAAGCTAGCCTTCCATCCCACTCTCACATACAGCCTTGTGGTGGTATTCTATTTGTACTGAAATGTGATTTTAATTATATGTTAATAAATAAAGTTGCCCGGGGGTCAGAGCTATTAGAGCTATAGAAAGAGCATGGCAGTGGTGGCGCACGCCTTTAATCCCATAGATCTCTGTGTGTTCAGGGATACAGCCAGCATTGGAGACATACGCCTTTAAGACCTAGAGGGCTGTACTTACAGGCAGTGATGAGGCAGTCATGTGTTTGCGTTTACAACCAATGAGAAGGCAGAACCGAAAGACTATGTAAAGACAGACACACAGGAAGTAGCTCTCTTTTGGGGAGAGCTAGGACCACCGCAGGAGGAAGGGTGAGATTTTAGCTCTGAGCTCTGACCTCTTGGCTTTCTCCTTTACATTGGTTCTGTGTTTCTTATTTAATAAGACAGTTGGTTACATTTACACAGCCTGGGATGGAATGTTCCAGTGGGGACAGGTGTGAGGGTGGGTGAACAAGGTAAGACTTTTATGTAAGTCGCTCTTGCCTCCATTTGCTAGTCAAGACCATGTGAACACTTCTTTAGGAGTCTTTTATCATCGTCAGCTCAGTCTAAATGGGACATTGAGGAAAAATCATCTTCATCATACCCAGCACCAGTGTCTCCTCATCCTGCCTCTGCTCTGAACCATGCTCTGAAGCTCATTCACTGTGGAGCTTTCCCGGATCACCCATAGCTAACTGCTGTCCTATGTTTCCCACTGTGATGCCTCCTGAGAAAAATACACATGGGAACCTAGAATGAATACAGAGGAAATCTGGGGATGTATACTGGCAGACACCACCATACACCAGAAACTGAGTGATCAGTGTAGCTAGGAAGGCAATGGTGAGCCCGAGCCTAAGGCTGCTTCCAGGGCAATCAATCGTCCAGTCCACCACAGGCCAAAGACAGGCTATTAAAATCAAGTACAGCTGGACATTATTGGTGAAATCCAATTGGGCATTGGAGTGATTGATGCCAACGAACAATGCAGTACAGCACACGACACTGGTTCACGCTCTTATGTGGCTCTCCCAGGTGACGTCACTATAGGGTTTCAGAAGGCTGACAACTGCGGCTGCGTGGGGCCACCCACCAGGTAGAGGAGAACGACGTTGGCAATCACCTTGTCAGGGAGGAGCATGGCATTCTGCTGGATCTGTAGCAGGTTGAGCACCAGAGCAGGACCATGCCTAATGAGAACAGCATGAGGCTCCAGGGCACCAGACTATGTGCCCATCGCCAGGCCACACACTGGCCCCGGGGCTTAGGCTCTAGGGATCTGGGAGGCCCTGCTGACAGCAGGCTGCCTCAATTATGCTTCTCGGGAGGAGGCCGTGTATCCTGGGCATCCAAGGCCATGCAGCCTGGGCATCCAAGGCCAGGCACACACTACAATAGCATGTAGCATACCCAGAGAGCCTAGGAGTAATCCCTGACTAACATTTTTTATGAATGAACATATTATTATTTTTTGTATCATTTTGTATAAATAGAATCACATAAATAATGAAGTTTTGTGTTTTTTCCCTGTGAACCGGAACAATACAATATAGCATGAACTATGCTAGCCTTATCCATTTGTATTTCTTGATAATTTTGTAGTCTGTTACTTCAATATTCACTTTACACATATGATGTGAATTATGGTGGTTTGAAAGAGAATGGTTGCTGTCTAAGTTAGAGTTTCTATTGCTGTGACGAGACACCATGACCACAGCAACTCTTATAAAGAAACACATTTAATTGGGGCTGGCTTACGCTTCAGAGGTTAAAACCATTATCGTCACGGTGGTAAACATGGCAGCATGCAGGCAGACATGGTGCTGAAGAAGGAGCTGAGAGTTCTGCATTTTGATCCACAGGCAGAAAAAGGAGACTGCCACATTGGACCAAGCTTGAACATGTAAGATCTCAAAGCCCACCTCCACAGGGACACACTTCTTACAAATATGCCACACCTGCTCCCACAAAGCCATATCTCCTAATAGTGCCACTCCCCATGGGACAGGTATTCAAATA